AAATGCACTGCAGGGGTGTGGCTTCTATTTCCTTGAACTATTGTGTTTCTATTGTGTACTATTGTGATAAGTATGGGTACTACCAAATTGTACAATGAATACATGCCTTCTGTATGGTTCGTTTGGGGTTTTTTTTTTTGTATTGACCTGATGGTTTGGGAAACGTGGAGAAAGAGCTGACTGAATAAACAACAACGTTTGGGGATTGCAGCTTAGTCTTAAGACTTAACACAGTCATTGTTTTTTATGCACTGGGTGAAGCTGACACTTGTACTACATATTGTAGATGATGCAAAAAAAGAGGACACGTGGAGTTAATGTAAAACTGTCATATTCTCTCTTCCTTTTTTTTCTTGCTCCTATTTGCTGTTCCTGCACTTATCTTTCTTTCTTCTTTTGACGCATTTTGCTCTTTTACTATTTGCTTCATGAATTGTCCCCGTCCTTCTTTGCTTCTCCTCTTTTCCACACATGCTTGTCAACATTTTCAATGTTCTTTGATCCCCTCCAAATCTCCACCTTATCTCTCTCGTCTTCATCTTTTGTCCTCATCCCATCCTAATCTTTCCTGCATCTCTCCGTCTCTGTCTGTTCCTCTGTCTGTCTCTGCAGGGCAAAGTGGCTCAGACAGCGTGTATGTCGGCCTGTAAACATCTGTCCACGTCGCTCATGCAAATGCTCCTCGACTCCGAACTTAAACAAGTCAGCATGGGAGCCATTCAGCAATTCAACCTGGATGTCATCCAGTGTGAATGTGAGTCGGAGCATAAACCTCATTTTGTTTTTGTCATTTAAAGTCTTTTAGCCCGTCCAATGCTGTTTACACTAACCATAATTTTCTTTTTCTCAGTGTTTGCAAGCTCAGAGCCTGTTCCTGGTTTTCAAGGAGACACACTGCAGCTTGCTTTTATCGACCTACGACAGGTAAAATGTCTCCTTAAATATTTAAGAGCACAGTGTGTAACGTGTGTGTGAATCATTATTATAATGACAAACTGCAATAGCCTAAGTTGTTTTGAAGATGTGGTACTGGTTACTAGAAGCATCTTAAATTTACTATAGAAACACAACCTATTATATATGTATATAATAATCAAGTCAAAGCCCAATTTTCCACCCACATAAATCTTGATTAACGTTTTTGTCTAAGTATATAGGTTGCAGCACATACACAGTATGTGCTCTGGTACTTTCAGCAATAATTTAAGTATTGAGGTTTCGCTCTCTTATAAGGGAAACACCTGGGGCAGAGCTCTTAAAATTTCATATTCATTCTGTTTGAAAACACAGCAGAGTGTTCAAAGCAACAATCACAAAAATGTGGCGTTTACAAAAAAATAGTGTAATAATTTAGTGGAACTAATTTCTTCTTTCTTCTTTGCATTTCTGCATGTCCCTGCTGCCCTTTATCTCACCTCTCTGCCTCACATCCAGCAATATTATGTTTCTGTGGCCTTTTCAACTTTCACCTGTCCTGTGGTTCACCTGCTCAAGCATAGTCCTCCCCCTTAACTGACCCAACACACACGCACAAACACACACAGACACACAGAAGCATACCCCCCCTCCCTTTTATGTTGTAAACACCGTTGGTATGTAAAGTGGTGCTTCATCTCATTAAGCTTGAGTCTGAGTTGACCTGTTAATCTGAGCCTGAGGAGGAGGTTTGCGATTGTACCCAGTCCAGGTCACAGCACACTTTTTTTTAACAACAGCGCCAGCAGTTTATCTATAAATTAGTATTTCAAATACTCAATCCTAGAATTTTGTCTACTTTTTGATTCCTGTTCCTATTATATTTACTATTCCAGATGGGTGAGACGGTTGTCTCTGTTGTCTTGGTATCAACCAATTTCATCAACACAGTTCAGCCACTCATTTTCTTTATTGATTAGTCTATGAAGTCCATTGCAAATTCAGGTAAAACAGTTTGAATAAAAATATAACAAAACACCAATTTTTATGTTTTGACGATGCATTTCTGCTAAAACCTAGAGGACATGACCCCAGTGATGGCTACAGTCCTTTCTGTCAAGTCATCCCTGGTTTAACCGTGATGCAGTTCATTAGACATGATGAATCCACGTTCCCTCCTATACAGATTGCTCGGTTGACCTATTAATCCCAGCCTTAGGTGAAGAAGTTTGGGAAGCATCTACAGGCTGAGGTTACACAAGGGTCATTCTTTTATTTGATGGCATGGCTGAAGTTTCAACTGTTACTTTAAATGCTTTTAACCACAAGGTTTTTTATAGAAAAAATAATGGTATTTGATTTAATTAAAAGACAAAAAAGCACTTCTGAAAATGTTTTGAATGCATCTGTTCAGGTTAAATATTTTACCCTAAAACAAGTCAATTTTTTTCTGGGCCTTTGGTTAAAGAAACCAGTTTCAATAAGTAATTTTTCTGTAGGTGACAAGCTAACACTTTACACACCAAAGTTTCTGCAAAGCAGAATACTTATAGTAGTTAACCCAACTCTAAATAAGCCTTTCTTCCTCGGTACTGTTGGTTTTCAGTCAATCATGCCTCTGTGGCTGCACAGGGAGACTGCATTTTGTATGGCATGCTCACTTCATTTGGCATTCTGCTTTAACGGACATTCTGGGAGAAGTGAGGGTTGTTTTTAATAGCAAAATATCAATTTTGTATGTAGCAATAAACATTAAGTCTTATCTTTAAATCTGATGAGGAAGCACTGTATCACATTAAAGTTTCAAAACATAAACATCACTTTCAATGCACAGTTGAAAAGCTAGTCTCAAAAATGTTTTTCAGTTAAATTGCTGTTTTCAGATAAAACAATGCACTGATGCCAATGTAGCCAGGCTTGTCTAAGCTCCCTGACTCATGTCTAATGACCACAGGCACCGACTGCTTTTACCCACAAATCCATTCTTTTAGAACCCACTCAAGCTCCTTGTAGAGAGCCATTGAAAGGGGGACTGTCAAGACTCTCAGCAGATCTTGTGCAGCATTTACATAAGTCAGCCCATGAACTGTCACAGTTGTCTGCCACACACACAACACGGAGGTGTTTACTGTTTCACTTGTATGATAACATGACTCAGCTTGCCCCACATGATTTTGCTAGATTACACTGCCAGATATAGATTTAAAAGGGGGAAATTATTATCATTGCAGAAATTGTACTAAAAACTGAAGAAAAGAAGAAAAGTTTAAGAAAAAGTGGGAAAAACCACCTACAGATGAACAGCAGATATTGAGTAAAGTATCAATACATTTTGCAAAAAAAGTTTTCTACAGGCCTACAGCCCACGCTGTGTCCCAACAAGAAGCTCAATTAGTGCCTTGAACATAGCACATACATTATGTAGCTGTTGTCCCAGAAAATGTGTTTCAACCCAATAAAAATATATGTCATTTATGGTAGTTCTCCAATATCTGGGTCTTAAAAAGGCAGTCATTCCTGGAAGTTCAAATTGTACCAAGTCTCTTTTTTAGATCCTCTCAGTGGATTTAGGGGTGTGGAGAGTTGAGTGAGTGTTTCTCTTCACATCCCTGCTCATCACTTAGCTCCAGGTGAGAATGATGCCATTGTTGCTGAGCCCCTCTCTGTGTGCTGCTGCTGCTCTGTCAGCTGAATAATGCTATTATCACTAAGCTGTTCTTTCACTGCTCTTTCAACATGACCCAAACACCCAGCTGTTTCACCCTGTGACATTAGCATACTCACTGTGTGTGTATGTGTGTGTGCATGAGTAAATGTCTGTGTGTGTTGGGTGGGTGGGGTGAGAGGGTCATCTCCATCAGGTTAACTAGGGGTCATCGTGTGGTCATTTCAAATGCTGCTACTATTCATGTAGTTAAAAAGGGCCCTGCACCAGTACTTATAGCTTAAGGTAAATATGGTTTTGGGTTTATTTTTTAATGTCCAGAGCGGTTTGCATTCACAATTGTGACCATTTGCATTTACACTTTACTTATGTGTGTCCCGAGTCCACATAGTGAATTTCTATGCACATAAAAGAAATCTTAAGTCTTAGTTTGTGTTCAATCTGGATTTCTGCAACAAAAAACTTGGAAACACTAAAAATTAATTATGTATATATTATACAATAATTAAGGTAAAACCACTCTCTTGGTTTGTTTTCTATCATCTAAGATCATCTGGTTTGTTTGTTTTTTGTCAGAATGTGATTGTTGGGTATTTTGTGTTTTTCAGCTGCTGGACCTGTTCATGGTTTGGGATTGGTCAACGTATCTGGCAGATTATGGTCAACCAACATCTAAATACCTGAGAGTAAATCCAGCCACGGCTCTGGCTCTACTTGAAAAGTGAGTGCATATTTATTCTCCTGCCAAAGAAAAACCTTTGAATTATTGCAAATGCCTGCAGTACCAGTGGTGGTGTGTTCAAATATTAGTGGGGCAGTGTGAATTATAATAAACCATTTACTTCAAAAACTAACAAGAATTTGACAAGTACATGTGATTCATTCTTTGTCTGTGTAGATTATAGGTATACCTTTAATAACTCAGCTTTTGATTTTGCTCTGACAATGTGCACTAAAATTCTCCCTTCAGTTTTTGCTTTCCAGATAAAGCATGAGTGTGAAGTCGGCTGCTTTATGTCACCTTCCTGTATTTCCTCAGATTTTTTCCTCACTTTTTTCCTCTCTAAACTCTTCCTTTCTCTGCTGTCTTTCTGCTGCTACTGCTAACGGCTGCTGCAGAGTCTACAGGGGGTAGGTGCAGAGTTCTGTCTGTTTCTCTTAACCCTTCAAAGTCTGGCATGTTTTTTCTGATATACAGGCTCTCCTCTTTGATTCTGCACAGAATTTGTAAATTGGTTTCAGTTGCAGGTACAGCTCAGAGTGATGATGTTTGTGTTGTGTTAGTATTTGTTGTGAGCTTGTAGCTTATTTTCTGTTAGCAATAATGAACTTTGAATGAATGAATGCGCTACAAATACAAATACTTTTATTATGATAGTATAAGTATGATTATTTCTACAGCCATGAATATGTCATTTGTCATACATCAACAGCAGTATTGATAAATCACAAAAATCAGAATCACTGTTAAAACCTTCCGCCTCGTTGTATTTGCAGGATGAAGGACAGCAGTAAGAAGAACAACATCTTCTCTCAGTTCAGGAAGAACGACAGAGACAAACAGAAGCTGATAGAGACTGTGGTCAAACAGCTGAGGAGCCTGGTCAACGGCATGTCCTCCTAAATACTACACAACACACAAACACATACAGGTACCAAGATGCCAACATGCAGAAGGACGATAATGACACACTGTACAGAAGAGAGTGAGTGAACACACACAGATGACAAAACTACACAGCAATACACACTGAACCAGGCATGCAGGGAAGTGAGCGCAGACACACCATCTGTGTGAACTCAAGTCCTCATACTGTTGTAGACTCAATATTTAATGTAAATAACAACAAATACACACAGACACACATCCTCTTATTGGACTGAACAGTCAAATGTAAAGTATTTTTATTGGTTTTACTGACTGAAATTATAATATTAATTATTTTAGCTGCAGGGTGAGACTGGATGTGACAAGTACTGACACAAGGGGTTTAGGGGTCAACACTTTTTTTCCCACTCATATACATTAAGGCCAATATTCAGTTGTTTATTACCAAAAGTTAATTGGTACATGAGGTAGGTGAAATTATGAAGCTCATTGTGCTAGTACTTCATTTAATGTGTGTTTATGTACAGTGTGTGAATTGTGTGTGTTTGCCTTGTGTGTTTATGTGTGAGACACTGGCAGAAAGCTGAATGATGACGTCTCGGAAGACTGACGTTCTGGAAATGAATGAAGTTTTGTTTTATCCCTCTCTATCTTTCCTTTCTGTACTTCTTTTCTTCTGTTTGCCTTTCTCTTAGCCCTTGAGCTAAATACTGAACTTGGATGGTGTCACTGTTCTCAGTCAATGACTCCAATTTTTTTTTTCATGGCCCAATATGTGTCAAAAAGTTATATCACAAACTACTGCATTAACAGTGCATTCAATTACCACACATATTTACATAGAAAAGGCTCCACAGGGAGTCTACAGAGACTTCACTCTGACTGGTTAAATGTGAAAAATCATGATTAATCACAGAATGTCAACTGTATTAACAGCTAATCCAAATCTGGATGTGAAGTGGGATTAAAAAGTCTTTAAGCACCCAAACATTTAGGCCAAACTGTTTATTACTTTAAATCAGTAGTTCTATAGTTAATTTAAATGATATGCACTAATAACAACTTAGAATACCCATAATATATGTAAATGTTTGCATCTTCAGCGATTTCACTCCTTGCCAGTGTTAACTAGATGTCACCCAGTTCTACCAAATCTTTTTGCTAAATCCAAAAATATTTAAAGAAAATACATTTATGTTTTTGTATTTTATTTATGATGTTGGTTTGTTAAACATAAAACAATGTTTGTGATCGCTACAAATCATGTGGTATTGATAGAAACAGTCTTAAAGCAACCCTAGGCATGGGCTTTTAAAGAAGACAGCAACGCTGTGTTGTTTTTCTGTTAGCAAGCTGGCTAAACAGTACTACTGGGCAGAATGATACAACAGAAAAACGTCTAATCAGACCGCATGCTTGGAGTGTTTTACTTGCCAAGTGTTAATGCGACTATTTTTGGCAAATGATATCTGTAAGATGTGATCACAGCAGAATTTTTTTTCATGACACAGGGGAAGCTGCTTGTTCACTGAGTGAATTTATCTCTTATAACACACAACTGTCCGGCTCCAAATGTTGGCCTGCACATGTCAAACCACAGCAGCCACAGGAGTTCACACCCACTGCAGTGCAGCAGAGTAACACCTGCTGGCCTCAGTTGTTTGACATTTCTGTCCTGCAGCTAGCAGCCAAATACACTGCTACTGTGCACTTGGACAGGATCAGTGGACAAGCATTTCTCACATAGTCGGACATGTTCGCACGGGCACTTGGTAGAACGTGACCGCCACGTAAACTGTACATTCTGTGCAGAGCAGAGAAGCCAGAAATATAGGTCGCTCTAGCAGTACAGGATGTTTATGCTACGGCGTGTTAGGTTTTTTTCGAGATGCCAATGTCTCAAATCCTCTGCTTTCGTGCTAACACATTTTCTTGTTACACTGATGTAAACAGAACATCAAGGTGTTATACAGTAATCAAGTCCATAAGTACCCCAGAGCTAGAAGTATGCCACACTTCAGATGCACAAAGGAATAACGGTGCTAGCATGCTAACAGCAAACAACTGAAAATACTTAAGTAGCTGTGATGCATTAGCTATCTTGCTTTAATGACCTTCAATTGAAATGGATGATTTATCATAATAAATGAAAAAGTGACTGGCCTATTATAAAAAGACATAACTTGGGAACAAAATTGAGATTTAGCATTTAGATCAAAGTTTACTCTTGTTGAAATACTCAGAAAGTGGTCAGCTACCAGTCTACAAAACCTACTCCATTTGTGATCTCCATTTAAAACCTAAATAATTAGCCCCCATGTGCTAATTTCCAACACGTCATTAAATAATGTCATATGATCTTAACCCCCAAGTTGAGCATCATTTTCATTCAGATTATTTTGTTTTCTGTTCCTCAGGGTGGAGTTAAGCTTTATAATGACCTACATAACCACAATATATTCACCAAAAACAGCAATAATGATTGGTTTATTTTTAGCCTAATTAGGCAATGGATTAATTGATTAACTCTTGATGGAAACATTTTTATAACAAGACTGTTTTTATTCAGTTGTTTGTTTTTGTTCTTTACTTTTATGAGGCATTTTTGCACTGAAGCTCATGAATATTGTTTTCCTTTTCTTTTTTTTAAATATTTGCTTGTAAATGCCACTGTATATACTGCATATTTTGTAAAGAAAATATTACAGCAGTTTGTCTGCTGCAAACTTGACCTGGGGGGGGGGGTAAATGTATGATGTGCACCTCCATTAACACCTGAAGCAAATATGTAACTAGTAACAGTGTGAATTTGCATCTGTTGCTTCCTGGTGATCACACTTGTGTACAGATTGAGTAACTCTGTGTTCTGTTATTTTATTTGGTTTACTATAATATATTTCAATGAATGATTTAACCATTTGCTTAACTTATCAAAGTGGATTCCAAAACTACAGGCATCATCACAAGACCTTTACATGGAATGAATGTAAGTACAAGTGAAGAGGTTCATTGGGTCTCTCCTGGACTGAAAATTTTTTTCCTTACATTTTTTCGTGACAAAATGCTGTTATAATAATAAAAAAATGTATTCAACTGGGAAATCTAATGTTATTGATTTCATTACCACTCTTCAGCTAACTTTATATGTTTTCCACAATACAGCTATGTTTTGTGCACATGCATGTCGAATAACAGATCTGCTGTGATGTATGGTTTGCAGTCTGTGTGAAGGGAGGCTGAACTGGAGAACGAATTCTCTGGAGTGCAAAGGATGGGCAGAATTAGGAGTAACCAGATCATTGAGCAAGGTTAAGATGATATCGACATGTTCTATATAGACAAAGGTGGACAAAGGATGTTGGAGACTGGAAAGGACCTGGAGATGATCCATGTAGCTGTAAGAGTAGGAGGCAAATGATGTAACCACATGAGCAGGTAGCCAAAGAAGGATGAAGGGCTTGTCTGCCAGTTACTCCAGGTAATTTCAACTCATCACAGGTTGACCACAGGCAATTTCCATATCTTACAAAGTACACATTTTCTTGAATTAATCACTGGACTTGTTACATCTGCATTTACAAATCTCTGTCAGTATTGCAAATATTGTATTCAGTAGCACTTCATCGTGACCACGCCCACCACCCATTTAAAGTTGCTAAAAGGCAATGCATATTACTGTAACCACCAGTGTAACCACCATTGTATACATATTATTCCGTGTTGTCAGGCTGGATTCTAGAGACGACAGTCTACTGTAGCCACAAGAGGGCAGTAAATTACACAATAGAAAAAGCATCTGATCCTGGAACTGGAACAGAATGTGATTTGTGAGAGGTCATGGACAGTCCTCTCTCTTCACTCTTGTGTATGTGCATTTGATTTAATGCTGCTCGTCTCTCTTGTCCTGCCAAAACATGAATTCCTTAAGTAAAACGTTCTAATTATATTAATTGTGTTGTTTGATTTCAGATGATTATGTAGGGCTCTTCTTTGGAACAATGCATCATCTGTGTTTGGAAACCAGAGCTCATTTTCTCTACACACACATAAGACATTTCTCCTCCACAGGAACTTGGGACTGCACCAGGAATTTTGACTGTTTCCAGCCCAGGGCAGGAACCAGAAATAGAAGCTCTTACCCCCTAAATAGTCCTAGCTCTAGAGGTAGGACTATCAAGAATTACTGCCACATTTTATGTAAAGTTAAATTTCTCTTCTAACTTGGGTCATAAAACTTAAACTTATATATAACAGTTGAAACTTTAAGAAAGCTCTAGACACCCAGCAGAGGGTGCTTTAAGTGCACTATGCGGTGATTTTTTTTTTTCAGTGCCTGTGAGTAAGCATACAGGTATATTGTTGGCAACTTGGTGTCACTTTTTCAGAGGCCAAAGGACAATTTGCATAATCTTCCTGGAACTTTTGTTAAGCTTGAAATCCATCCAGTTATCACAAGCAAACCATTTAGTTCTTTGAAAATAGATCCCATTACTGGAATTTTAATGGATGAGGGTTAGAAATGGGAGTGACACTTTTTGTGTGAAGGTTTTCTGCCCTCTGAGTTTTGCTGTATTCCATTACTGCACACATACATGCTAAGTGGGAAACAGCAAGTGAACTTTGGCCTGGCTCAGCAATTGAATGCTGAGGATCTCTGTCGCCGCAGATGTAATGAGGCGAGAAACATTTAGAAACCTCTATTATCACAGCACAAGACCAAACCAATGCACAAAGACAGAAAGGTGTTTGTTTTCCTCTGAGGAATACTGTGCACTCTGTGAGCTCTACTGTCATCATGGTGCCACATTAACACCGTGACCTTTCTGCTACTTTCACGTCCTCCGTGTCCCAACATCTACGAAGTGAAAGTTCGTGCATCACTCATCTCATACAGCCAGGCTGTTTTCACACATTCTGGACACATCTCAACATGTATTCTATTACAGACACACTCTCACCTGACGGGAATCTTCAGTGGAGGAAAGAAACCATTTTCCTGGACACGGCTCAGTTGGTTGAGTGGGTTTGCTTTACAATTCGGGGGCTTGATATTGCTTTTTCTTGGCAGGACACTACTGTAAAACATTACGGTGTCCTAATACCAGTTTGAAGCCCACATTAGTGCACAGAGTTGTGTCAAGATGGGGAATGTGGAAGAAGAGGAAGATTTGTGTTGAGTCATTGTTGACCAGTTAGTGACAGCAGCCAAAGCATTGTCTTTAAAAATGTGGACCATTTCCCCCAATGGTAGGATAGATCAAAATGTTCAAATTTACCAAAGTTGTCCAATTTTAGTAACTTGAACTTATCAAGACACTGATAAGTTCAATGACATTTATCATTATACTGTGGTCACTGTGTTAGTTGCAAACTTTGATGGAAATGTTGAGATTCATCTGATTTGTTTATTCTACTGAGAGAATTTAAATTCAGCAAAAGTAATATTCTAGTTGTTCTGCTTTACTTTAGTCATTCTGTTTTTAAGTCCCTCTTTGAACATACATTTCTACTTTCTTTCACTCCTTAGTTGAGACAGATGATGACAACGTACAACACCTGGGTCAGCACAATACTTCATGGTAAGTTTCCCTGTTAATTTTTTTTAACCTACGAGTGCTTTCATGTGATGTTTTTAATGTTTAACACAGAAACATATTTATAATTCACTGTGACACGACCTGTGTTAGGGGCGGTTGGTTGGAGAGGGTGTGTGGGGAGGGGGGTTCCTTCCTGTGTGTCAACAGGAGTGACAAGTATTTTAGTGCAGGGATCAAACACTTTAACAAGGCAGTAAACAGCTTTAACATTCACTTTAACAATACAGCAGACAGACAGAGGAGGAGACACACAAACCTCCACACCTTTGTCACTGCCTTCACAGGCTCTGACCCTCACACTGACCCTAACTGTTGCTTTACTGTTAGCCCAGTCACTCATTTTAGATAGATAGATAGACGGATAGATAGACAGATAGCACTTTATTAATCCCTTAGGAGTTACCTTTGGGAAATTTTAGAGACTGCTTCTTCAGAAGCTGAAACTGTTAAAAAAAAGTTAAAACTGTCTAAAACAATTAGTCGTTTCTTCTTCTTTCTTTGTAAACAACTGCATTTCAAGGATGACTATGACCTCATGATCCCTGATTCTTCCTCTTTTTCATTTCTCATACAACTAAAATTACACTTATTATTTCAGAACATCTTGATTCAGACTAATTCCTCGAACTCTTGCACCATAAATGACCTGCAATCAGCAGTCATTAATCTCTATATCAACTCTTTAAAGATACATTTGCAAAAAACCACTCCACCTCCATGCAATGAAACCTGGAAGTGGCAAAGACTTTTAGAGAGCAAGTAAAGTTTATTGGGTCACAAAGTGCTTGACGAGGAGAAAGTGCAATATAACATCAAAAGAGTAGCAGAGATTAAGGACAGGGACAACAAAGTGCAGCGGTTAACCTGGAGACAGAACATGTGCCAATTCAAGTCAGGTATTATTCATCATTTCCTGTTTTTAAACTTCTAAAAATGTGTGCATGAGACTTGTGACAAGGGATGTCATCCACCTCTTTCTGTATCCCACTTTCCAGAGTCCTATTGATGACAGTAACCTTGGTGAGGCCATGTGTAATAAAGCCAGACTTGGAGTGAAGAGTTCAACCTGACCATTTTCATACTTTCCACCCACACTGGTGAGTCAGCAGAAAAACCCATTGTGGCACTGAATGTGGCGTAAGAATGTTATCATTCTTTCTCATGTCATGATCCAGGTCGCACCCACATTTGTGCCTTCTTGTTTTGGTTGAATAATATATGATAAAGAAATGATCTCTATGGCAGCTGCCTGTTGCCAACCCGTTACAGGAAAATTATTGATTCATCCATTCAAAGCTGAACCAAATACATTCTATTAGCCTTTGTCATAAGCAGTTTAGTAGCCTCTAAGAAACTTTTCTTCAAGTGTTTCTGGACCACAGCTGGCTACAAAGCAAATATGCACTTTTGGGTTTCACAACCGAAACGCAAATGGCCCAAATTGCAATAGATTAAAACAAAAAAACAAAAAAAACAATAGTTTTAGTCAAACAGTTCCGATGTCTTGGACGTGGACTTGGCAGCTTTTGAGTTAATAAGAGTTGGCCAGCACGGATCAAAGCCTGATGAGGTGTTCGTGTTATCGCTAGTGGGACACCAATGGACAAGTTTACTTTCTTTTGTCTTTTTCACTGACAGTTGTTCAACTCCCTAAATATTTATATCATTTATATAGGTCTATGGTACAATTACATTTTTAGTTTTCTAGACAGACAGACGACTTGGCGACTTGGTTTCTGGGTGACTTGCTTCCGACTGTCAATCCTCACTGGATCAAAATGTTCAAGTTCATGCAGGATGGGTAGCTAAAGAATTAAATTCCAGTTGTCACTTTCTCCTGTTGTAACCTGAAGAGACTCTGCAGTGACAGACAGAGATGGAGACACAGAGACAGTGACATCAGAAGACAAACAGTGAGTGACCTGCTGCTGACCCAGGGGCCCTGACACTCCCTCTGACCTCCTCCTCCCGCTGGGAATGCACCTCTGATTAGCACCTCAAACTACCAAACACAGGAGCCAAGCTGACCAGTTACCATAAAGAGTGTTGTAAATCAGTTTGAATGTGCTCCTGCTCACCTTAGCTAGAGTGAACCTGAGGACAAAGAGTCATGACAGTGACTTTTTTTGACATTTTTGGTCTCCTTTCCAAAAGGAATAAGAAGCATGCAGCGTTTCATCTGCTGTTGAAGCCTTTTTGTAAACCATGATTAGCACCCTGTTAGCACACAGCTAGTTTGTGTTAAGAAATTACGTTAATTTGATGCCAACTTTCTGTCCTTGTTTGAACGTGAACTCTGATGTATGCTAGATGCATGCATTGTACTGTATTTCAAGCACTTATACCACATACTACTGAAACGGAGCAGGATTGGCACTTAAGTAAGGTACATATTTAAATAGGAAATTATAAAAGCTTTGCCTAGACTTTTTTGAATCAGAATTGAACCATATATTTTCTTCTGATCTGTGCTATTAGCTCTGCTTTGGGCTTCACCTTTGACTGTCAGAGTGACTGCTGCTTGCCACTCACCAACATTTTTCCATTTGAGTAAGAAAAAGAACTGAAGATTGGGGGGAAAAACAACTGATAAAAATAATTTTTTCTCACAATTCATGAGTCAACGATACAAAGGCTTCTTATTTAAGAGAAATATTGTTCACCGTCTAATGGTTGTCATTTTAAAATACTTCTACAGATATTTAGAGCACTGTTCGCCCCACACCCCCTCAGCTCCCCTTTCAGAAGCACAGTGGTAAAATAATAATGTAAGATAACAAAATGATTTCTGCACCCTCCTAAAAAGTGTTTTTTAGTGACAAGTCTGGTCCAGAACTGGATCTGATCTTTGTATTTTCCTTGTGCTTTCCTATTAGAAACTCTGCATGATAACTTCTTCAACAGATGTCTTCTTTTGGCTTCTCCACTGATTCATCACAAAGGTCGTTTCAGAGTGAGCGTAAACAGTTGCAGGAGGGAGGAAACATAAAAAGTTATGGCTTGTGTGCTGCTTTGTTGACACTGCCTCTCCTCCACCACTGTGTGCACTGTCATAAAGGTTTGACCTGCTGAAAGGGATAATAATGAGCCAGTGTGAATTTTTAAAACATACTAATGAGAATGACAACGGGTCAAACACAGTCACCGTGTCCAAACAGGTGAGAAGAAATGAGCACAACTCAAAAAAGATTGTGTTTTGACTGGTTCACAAAATGAATAATCGCTTGAGAAAATAACATCTAACTCTATCTCTCTTATCTTAACCAGTGAACTTGGATTCACGCGAAAGTTCACCAAGATGTCAGGGTCACATACAGGTCAGTCAGAGCGCTCTCTGTGAGAGAGAGAGAGAGTGAGAGAGAAAGAGTTCACGCACATAACGTTGTGGTAATGTTGTTTAGGGCTGACTGTGCACTCTCCCATTGTGTGTGTGTGTGTGTGTGGCACTCACGTTTTTTTTTTTACTGATCCAGAATCAGTATTTGTTTGGACCAGCACATTAATAATAAAGAGCACTAGTTGTTAATATTATTGTTTATTATATATTTGTTATATATGTTTAAATATAAATAACACTTTGCACTTTTCAGTACCTTTTTCTTTCTATTGTATTGCTGACCATCCACTTGTGCTGTAAAGCATTGTTACTGGTCAGCACAGTGTAATAGTGGTTAAATACCTGCCTTACAGCAAGAAAGTCACCGGTTCAAAGGCTCAGGCAGATGACCTTCCTGTCTGCATGTTCTCCTCTTCTAGTATGTTCTTGGGTGTGTGGTTGATACTCTCGTATTGTTGGAGCAGATGCTTGTCCGTGCAGTACAAAGCACATTCTGATTACACTTATTCTCTTTTGTTTTGTGTGGTTTCATTTAACCACAGTGGTTGAACGGTGGTGCGCAGCTGTAAGATGCAGCAGTGGAGGTGCAGATGTCTGACTCCTGCAGCTGCTCAGCAGATTTGCAGTGAGTGATCGCTGCAGCATAAACAGCCCAGAAATCATTCTCTACACTTGAACTTCACTTCACCCTCTTCTACTTCTTCCCCTGCTTCATCACACCTGAACAGCAGAATCCTGTTTCACACATTCACACTGTGATGAGAAAAATACTCACCAGCTACAGCATGACCAGCTGGAAACTCATTCACCCTGAACACGCATCAGCCTCCGCTGACTGCCTGAACACTGAGTAAACAAGGATCTGTCCATTAATACCCAGGTCGCTGAGTGGGTCAGATTCCAAATCCCTGAGTAGAGATGAGAACTTTTGTACGTTGTTTTTTTTTTTTTTATCTGACCCTCACTGCAGGTAGAGTCTTGTTCAGAATTGTATAGTGTCACAAATAATACTTTTTAAGTGACGGCAAGCCAATTTTCATAAATCTTCTTCAACCTTAAATGGGTTAGTAGTCATCTGGAAACACTGGCTCTACATTTGAAAGAGTGAATTATATTATACGTAGTGGCCAGAGAAATATTTGAAGGTCTTGTTTGAACACAAAATGTCAGATTCTAATATGTTAGAGACAGAACTAAAACATTTTCAGGTGACATCATTGTTGTGTTAAATTGTCTGATTTCAGCTTAATAACGTTGTAAACATCTCTGCTTTTATAATGAAAGCACTTTTGTTCCACTTTCAGAGCATCTCCAATCTCTTCACCTCTGTCTTGTCCCAAACACTGCAACAAGTTTTTAAAAAGTATGCTTAACAACTGGTACATGAAAGAGCATTTGCATCTCTGGGTGAATTCAGGGGTTTAAAATAGAGAAAGAATGTGACACTATTTATCTGCTGTTTCAGACTCTGTGAGCATAATTTCCGTAATGAGGATGGAACAAAGAAAGATATTGAGGATTTTTATTGTATTTTGCATTTTGTAGTGTATAGCCCATTCTACATTTATTTTAAAAAGACAAAACCCTCAACACATCAAGCTTTGGATATTATATATCCAGGGTTCCGATGTTACCGAGGTGAAACAGAGCAAAGTTATAGATGTCTTGACTGTAGACATAACAAATTCAGAGGTGAGATATTTTAATTATTGAACAACAAACAATTTAACTTCCTTTCATTTGTATTTTTTATTCCAGTATCACCCCTTTCATGGAAAACGCAAGAAAACAATCAGTTAAACTCCAGTTTCTATTGACTGATTTGCATGACTGTCTACTCGTTTTAATCCTTTAATCCAATAGAAAGTTGTGGTCATCAGTTCACGCCATCAACAACATCTGACCAGGAATGAATGAAACTCCACCTCTGTCTATTGTGTGCAGATCTGTAGGTAATCTGCTTTTTGTTTTTATTTGATCTTCTACTGTAAATGAATGTACAAACAGCAACCTCTGTGGGATGGTAGTTAAAAGTCCTGGATTTGAGAGTGAAGGATTGCTGGTTCAAATCCCTCAGTTTTTTTTCTGTATTTGAGGTGTCGTAGCCACGTAGACATTCTGACAAGGTCGTTGACCTGAACAAGGCATGAAAAGGTTATAAAATGCTAAGAAACACACTGTTTTATATTTTCTAAAACATAATACAATGTTGATTGTTATATCTAGTTATATCTATCAGCATCTAACAGTAATCACCTTTAGATGTGTCACATAGGAGCTGTACAAGCTCAGTTTTGATTAGATTTCTTTAAGGACTCGCTCCTTATCAGATAAGCACACATACAACTGTTTGTGTGTTATCAGAAAAATAAAGGTGAACATGCTTTCTTCAAACCTTAGATTACCGACTGTGGGTGAATGTGGAGCTGCGTGAGTTCAGGATTTGGGCCAGGCGTGTTCCACTGTTTGCTGTGGCTCATCTTCGATCTGGGGGTGAGTAAAGACCTGGGCCAAATAACATCACAGACCATGAAGAAGAGAAAAAAACTAGAACGTTTCTCTTTTATTTTCCAAATGATTCGCTTGTGTATTTGGACACACTGGACAATGTTTCTCCAACAGTGACAGCTGAGACACTTTAAACCGTGGAATATCATTTGGTCTAGTTTATCCTAAAAATAGTTGAAAAAGTCCAGAAACGGAGAGTAGGTAGTGCAGCGATGAAACAGAAACATTATTTGCATCATCAACACATCATTCATTCTTCCTTCCTAAATGATGATGCCAAACCTTTGAGTCCCACATGTTGCCAATACTGTCTACTACCCACATGTGTCATGTATATCATTATGGGTATTCTGTGGTCATTAGAATGTATGTCATGAAAGTTTTTTCTTAGTTGTGTCTGAGATACTCCAGTCTAAAGTATTTGTTTAAAAACATGTTGGTTTGTAGTTGAAGTAGTATTAACTATAAATCACATGTTTTACCGGTGGATTATGGGTTAGACTTAAACTGCGTGTCTGTCTGCTGTAGTGTCAACCATAGGGCACACAGTTTTGATGAGAATTCCATTCAGTAAGAACTCACAGTGAGGGTGTGGCAGTGGATGAGCTCCATTCTCTGAGCTGCATGTTTACTTTTTCATGCGATGCACACGCACAGGGATATAACCGTGCGCGTGCGACGCTGCTGACCCGCGTTTGAACTCGCTGTGAGAGATATCATTTTTATAACACACACACACACACACACACAGATGCAGGTTAAAGTCCTCCAGATTAGGCAGAAGTTGTCTGATAGAAACGGAGTCAAACAGAGGACAGCCCCCCCCCCACCCTCCTCTCTTATAGTCTGTCTCTCCACTTTCTTCATCATTTCATCTTTCTGTCATATGTGCTCCCTCCTTCCCTTTCTTCTCCTTCCTCTCTTTACTTTCGCGCAGCACAGATGCAGTTTTTACGCACCAGTCACCCACCATCAACACAGCGCACACATCAAATTATCCCCGTGCGTAAAATCCAGAAACACAACATGACTTTGAATGGCACTGGTGAAGGCAGAGACCCGCGGGGAGTGGGATTAAGATGCTCTCCGTGCCGGAGCCTCTTTCTCCACTTTACTGAAGCCGCTGAAAATGTGCTGCTCTAAAGAAAGCGTCTTTGCTCTTGAATGCAGGCCGCCCTGCAGGCACGATTACTGATCCTGCGTGCGGGCCTTAAGCCAAGGTAATGAGTGTGTAAACTAGCTGCCTTGTGGCCAACAAAGGCGACTCGGGGACGCGTTTCCATTGTCTCGGGGGTTGGGGGGGGAATCATCACCTTTTCTGAGTGAAATCCGCCGCGGATTGTCTGCGTGCAACAGGAGGTATAGGGGGATTAAAGATGGAACAAATGGTAAGGCAAAGTCAGCCAGTACAGGCCGGGGGCGGGGCCGAGCGACTCCCACAATTAAAGATGAACTTTGTGTGAACTAATTTATCTGAGGGAGGAGAAGGTAAGAGGCTGCCCGCCGTCCTGGCAGACTATAAAAGCGGTGGATGTGCGCAGTGTCGGAGCTTCAGTTTCGAGGAGGGAGAGTGACAGAGAGCATCACCTGAAACACATCCAAAGACACAACACAACTGCAGCAACATGGCTCTGAGCGCACTGCTCGCCACCTTCTTCTGCACCATCGTGCTGCCCATACTCGTGTTTCTTGTGGCGATGAAGTTGTGGGAGGTTTACATGATCCGGGGCAGAGATCCGAACTGTTCCAGTCCGTTGCCACCGGGCTCCATGGGCTTACCTTTCATTGGAGAGACGCTCCAGCTCATCCTCCAGGTTGGTTCAAATGTACCTCATGCGCAGTACACACTGCATCTACGTGTAGATTTATGCTAGTCGAGGTTTCCTCACAATGTCTGATTCTTGTTTATTATTAATGTGAATTTTACGCACGGCCGCATTCGCTATACGCGCAGTAAAAGCAGTGCTTAATGTACCCGATTCATTCACTTTCAGCCATGAGTATGCGCAATTACGCACTATTGAAAGTGCGTAAGTAATACTTATCCCACAACTCAATAGACACAGGTAAACGGTCTATTAAACACGCTTTTATTATAGTCATCTTTCTTTGTTTAAGTCTCCAAGTGAGCGCAATAACGCGTCGTTATACTTTTTTTTGTTTATTTGTTGTTGTTGTTTGTTTTTTTTGCGTTAAACTTATCTCGTTAATGTGGTAATCGAGATCTAGTTGTTATTTATTTAGTATAGCTACGTTTTCGGTCATTTGCATTCTGTCTAATTATGCGCATAATTACGCACCGGTGTGGAGTGATGCTAAATACAACAATACTAACTAATACTTTCATTTAGTCAGTTACTGTCACTAGACAGCGTGAGTGTGTGTTCTGTGTTGTCGTCTTATCCAAGTTGTGTGCGTTTTTGTTTTTATTCAACTTGTCCCTAATCTTTTTTTTTTTTTTCCAGAGGAGAAAGTTCCTGCGGATGAAGCGGCAGAAGTACGGATATATCTACCGCACTCATCTCTTCGGAAACCCGACCGTGCGCGTCACGGGGGCTGAAAATGTGAAGCAAATTCTAATGGGAGAACACAAACTGGTGTCCGTGCAGTGGCCCGCGTCCGTGCGCACCATCCTGGGCTCGGACACCCTGTCCAATGTGCACGGAGCCCTGCACAAGAGCAAGAAAAAGGTACGTGTTTTCCTGTGGACATGCAAGAACACTTCTTTGCATTCACTGTACACAACTTGTGTAGTATCATTAATACAGAAATGTGAAGACCAAATTGTAACACTTGTAACACTTCTTTTTTTTTTACTTAGGCCATAATGCGTGCCTTCTCTAGGGAAGCTCTGGAGCTCTACATCCCTGTTATTCAGGAGGAGGTGCGGGCTTCCGTGAAGGAGTGGCTCTCCAGAGACTCCTGTGTGCTGGTCTATCCAGAGATGAAGCGCCTCATGTTCCGTATTGCCATGAGGATCCTGCTGGGCTTCGAGCCCGAGCAGATCAAGACTGATGAGGAGCAGCTGGTGGAAGCTTTTGAGGAAATGATCAAAAATCTTTTCTCTTTGCCCATTGATGTTCCCTTCAGTGGACTGTACCGGGTAAGACAACCCAAACTCCTTGGCTGTATGACAGTGTTTAGCTCAAAAGATGATGAATTTAGTGCCATAGACTTGATCTATGATAAATATATATATATATATATTGTGGATGGATGGAACACTTAAATCTCATTCTCTGGTCTGTTTACCAACAGGGTCTGAAGGCCAGAAATTTCATCCACTCCAAAATTGAAGAAAACATCAAGAAAAAGGTACAAGAGTCAGACAAGGGCTCTGCTCACAGGGATGCCCTGCAGCAGCTCATAGACAGCAGCAAGAAGAATGGAGAAGCCCTCAGCATGCAGGTAATGATTGGTTCTTCACCATGTCTCACACTCCTGTAACCTCCTACTGTAAATCTGACCTCGCTGTTGCTTCTTCTCTGTTGTAGGCCATTAAGGAATCTGCTACTGAGCTGTTGTTTGGTGGTCATGAAACCACAGCGAGCACAGCAACGTCTCTGATCATGTTCCTGGGCCTCAACCCTGAGGTTGTGGACAGACTGAGACAAGAACTGATGGACAAGGTAAGAACGCTGTGACTTAGAACTCCATACATTTTTATCTCAGTTGATAGCATTTTAGATTACTTCACCAAAGTCAGGATATCTTAACTGAATAATGTGCAGAAATGATCTGTTTTCCTGCAAAAATCAGGAAATTCATGTGGTTTTCTTTTGTGTGTGTGTTTAGGAAGAACAGGGAGTGGACATCCAGAACTTGAACATTGAGTCTTTGGAACAGTTGAAGTACACTAACTGTGTCATTAAAGAGACTCTGAGACTGAACCCTCCTGTTCCTGGAGGATTCAGAGTGGCCCTCAAGACATTTGAACTCAACGTAAGTACTTTTGAAATCCCACCAACATCAAGTTCTCAAAACAGATTTGCATGACAGGGTTTGATAACTGATCATTACCTCTTCCACTCTTCAGGGATACCAAATTCCCAAAGGCTGGAACGTCATTTACAGTATCTGCGACACCCATGATGTGGCAGAGATCTTTCCTAACAAGGAAACCTTCCAGCCAGAGCGTTTCATGACCAGATTTTCTGGCGGCGACTCTAGGTTCCAGTACATCCCATTTGGAGGGGGCTCCAGGATGTGTGTGGGCAAGGAATTTGCCAAAGCCCTGCTGAAGATCTTCCTGGTGGAGGTGGCCACAACATGTCACTGGACTCTTCTGAATGGGCCACCCACCATGAAAACAGGACCTACAGTCTATCCTGTGGACAATCTGCCCACCAAGTTCACCAACTATGTTCAGAATTAAGCAAATGTCAAAATTATAGTTTTGAGGCATGTTTTTTTTTTTAAATCTTTCAAAAGGCTAAGGAAGAACTCAGGTGTTCATAGAAAACAGATCAGAGACATTCAAACATGAACTGACTCTTCTGTTTGTTTTCTTGCATTTTTTTTGGCAGTACCTGTAAATAGTGTAAATGACTTGAGAATGGATTTCATATTTTATATGACTGTGTTAACGTTTTTGTATATAACTTCCTCCTGAAGATACAAACTAAACTAAAGGCACTATACACCGACATGGAACACTTAAATCAACTTGGCGGTGTATCTATAGGGTGATGTACATACAGTATATATATATATATATATATATACACACATACATACATATATTTGTATATATATGTATAATTTAGAGTCAGTTTATGTAACATCTGTATCATATCACAACTTATTTAAGTGACGTTACATTGTATGGGCTTTTATTTAATAAAACAGTTTTGCATTGAATCTGTGTTTGTGTCACTGTTGTCTCCATGCATCGATTTCTTTTTTTTTGCACTGAGTTGAATGTCATTACCAGATGAATGACCTCTGTTCCCCTCACAGTGACGCACCAACACGTGGACCACAGATCAAAACAACAATAGAAATGATTTACACTTTCAAAAGGAAGGTGAGAACTGATCCCAAGTGTCAGACACGGTACTGTCACTGAGGAGACAGTGTTGTGGTATGTGGCCCATCTATAGGGGACCTGCAGGGACCTGTAGGGCTGCTGTGGGACCAGTGTGTGTTCATGACCCACATTCCAGTATTTTTAAAAACGTCTTGTCCTTTTGGTCCACTTGATGAAGACCTCCACTTGTGTGTACTGTCCTTTTGGTGCCATATTTCCTCCACTTTATGATGTCTGTCTTATGGTTTTGTGCTGTGGTATTTTTAAAGCCTTGGAAACATTTTTGTTTCTGCTCCTCTTTAACAGTGAGATCCCTTTGATGCTTTGTAAAACCTGGCTTCTGTGGCGGGATCAAACCCTGTAAATGGCCAAAAGAGAAGAAAAATCCTACTACAACAGCTGATCTCTATTAAGGGTGAGTACAAGTGACTGGATCTGACAGTGGGTGTGTGTCGACTGTTGTTTATTATTGCTTTATATCCTAGATATTTATAGGAGATACATTTTTGAACATTTTCATTTATAAGAGTAGAAGTTTGTGGTTTTTACACAATTATTAAGATGTGCAGAGTAAGTGATATAATAATAATCATACTAAGTGAAAAATCTTGGTGTGACAGTTTTGTGGCAGTTTGCTGGTATTTTAATAGTGCCTCTGAGTCTTTTTATATATCTTCAGTACTGTTTTATACATTGATTTGTTTCACAGCTTTTCCAAATGCAGCCAACATTCGCCCAATAGCATGAAGTTCACATTTTCCACACACAGAGGTGTGTGTGTGTGTGTGTGTGTGGGTGGACCAACGGGTCTGTATACGTATTCATCATCTTAAAGTGATCCAAAAATCTAAAGCTCCTTGATACAAATGGCATTTAAAATGCTAATTATCAAAGACAACATGAATCGTCCTTAAATGAGTTGAAGCTCATCTTCACCTCTGCTCTCATGGAGACCTTGAGGCAACGTCAGCCTTAGAAGGTTAATGTGTCTTTACCTGGGTGGTCCCGAGACACATTCCATCATCGTTACACAATAAATAAGTAGAGAGAGGAAAAAGAAAATAGCAGTGAAATCTGGAATCCATAGAAGAAAGAGAGCAGAGCAGAGCAGAGCAGAGCAGAGCAGAGCAGAGGGCTGATGACCCTGACAGATGAGCAGACAGGGTGAACCCGAGTTCAGACTGAGCAGTTCAGTTTCGGGACACTGAACCATTATAGACCCTGCGGAGGAAGAGAGAAAGTGAGTCAGTCGTTACTGAGGGGACAGAGATAAT